GAGTTCAAGGCCAGCCTGGTCTATATAGCAAGTTCCAGGCCAGTTGGAGCTACAGGGAGACCCTGTCTCAAAAAGATCAAAATAAATAATAAATAAATATAAAAACAAAAAATAAGGCTAGCCTTCACTACAGAACTGTCTAAAAAAATTTATGAAACAGGCTGTGTGCCTTGTTTTAGCCCCAGCACTTGAAAGGCAATGGCATTGTAGCTCTGAATTTGAGACCAGCCTGGTCCCCATCTCGAAAAATATATGTAAAATAAAATTTGGAAAAGACTTAACCATTATGGATGACCTTGAGAACTTTTTTTTTTTTTTCGGTCTTTTGAGACACGGTCTCCCTGTATCCCCAGCTGGCCTGGCACTCACTGTGTAGACCAGGCCTTGGTCTTGAAGAGCTCCACCTGCCTCTGCCTCCTGAGTGCTGGGATGGGCATGCGCCACCACGCCCAGCTACAAAAATACGGAATATTTCAAGAATTTCCCCCGTCCTTGCACAGGGGCCATGCTAATCTCTGTGTCGTTCCAATTTTAGTATATGTGCTGTTGAAGAAAGGACATTGTAATTCACAGGAAATTGTCAAACTATCAACATTAGCAGGAGTTTGGAAGCAGATTCCAGCCCTCGGTGGGGAGGAGGCAGCTACAGCTGTGGAAACAGCCAGTGAGCTGGACTTGACTTGGGGCCTGAAGAAGTGGTAAGCTGCTGCCATCTCAGGATTGTACCTGACAGCCGAGGAGCTGTGGATTTGGGGCAGCCAAAGGTTGCTTGCTCCCTTCCTTCCTCCCTTCTCCTCTTCCTCTTCTTCTTCCTCTTCTTCTTCCTCTTCCTCGTCCTCTTACTCCTCCTCCTCCTCCTCCTCCTCCTCTCCCCCTCCCCCCTCTCTTTCTTTTGAGACGAGTCCTGCTAGCCCCAGCTGGCCTGGAACTCACAGTTTAGACCAGGTTGTCCAAAACTCATAGAGATCATTTACCTCTGCCTCCCGACTGCTGGGATTAAATTTCTTGATGGAATCTACCCAGGTAACTATATTGTTGCTTTTTTGTCACTGTGATAAAACACCATGACCAAGGCAACTTATAGAAGAAAGAGTTTGACTTACAGTTCCAGGGGGATTAGGGTCCATCATGGCAGGGAGGCATAGCAGGAGACAGCCAGAGTAGAAAGCACAGAGCTCACACCCAAGTATGCACAGGAAGCAGAGAGAAGCAGACAGGAAGTGGGGTGATGCTATAAACTCAAAGCCCAATCCCTGTGACGTGCTTCTCCAGTATGGCCACTCCTCCCAAAGTTCCAGGACCCTCTCCAAACAGCACCACTCACTGACCAGGGGTTCAAAGACTCAGAGCCTGTGGAGCACTTCGCATTCAACCCACAGTAGTAAGAAAGTGACAGGAAAGGAATTACTGCATCACATAAACTTAGTTGAAACAGAGGACCGGGTTCAGTTCCCAGACCCCACATGGCAGCTAACAACTGTCTGTGACTCCAGTTCCAGGGTATCCAAGGGCCTCTTCTGACCTCTGCGGGTCTTGCATAACACAGGTGCACTTACAAAAATGCAGACAATCCATTCATACACATAAAATTAAATAAATAATATGTTTCTAAACACCAAAATAATAAAGAAGGAGATGGAGGAAAGAAAATATATATTCATTTACTTATTGGGGGCACACGTGTGCCATAGCTCACGTGTGGACATCAAGAACGGCTTACAAGAGTCAGATCTTCCCTTCTGTCATGTGAGCCCTAGGGAAGGAACTCCAGTCATCAGACTTGGCAGCAAGCACCTTTACCCACTAAGCCACCTTGCCTTTTTAATGTTGTGTGTATGAGTCTTTTGCCTACTTGTGTATAAGTGTAGCACTGTGTGTGTGCAGTGCCCTCAGAACCAGAGAGGGCGTTGGACCCCTGGAACTGGAGTTACAGATGGACTTGTGAAACCACAGTGTGAGTCTCTTCACCAGCTCTGCAGTCAGGTCGATGCCTCCTGCCTCTCCTGCCTTGTCCACACTGACCCTGGGGGTTAGCAAACAAGTGGAGAACCAAGGCACTGCAGCGAGTAACGTTGTGCAACTGGTGCTGGAGAGGTTAGGGTACCAGATGCTACTGGGTCCTTCTGCCCATCCAGACAAAAGGAGAGTAGCCTTTTTTTTTTTTTTTTTTTTTGGTCTTTTTGAGACAGGGTCTCCCTGTAGCCCCAGCTGTCCTGGAACTCCTATGTAGACCAGTCTGGCCTTGAACTCACAGAGATCCGCCTGCCTCTGCCTCCCAAGTGCTGGGATTAAAGGCATGGGCCACCATGCCCGGCGAGAGTAGCCTTCTTTTTAAATGTTTTTATTTTATATTGGATACGTGTATTATGTGCATGTGTGTTGGTGTACCTGTGCCGTGCAATGCCTCTTCTGTAGAGGGCATTGGATCCCTGGAACTGGAGTTACAGATGGTTGTTAGCCACCATGGGTCCTGGATTCTAACCCAGGTCCTCTGCAAGAGCAGCCAGTGCACTTAACCACTGAGCCATCTCTCCAGCCCAGAAGTAGCCTTCTTGAAACCTTGAATTTCACATGCAGCTTGTTCCAGTATTGACCAGGTGATAAACTCAGTCAGTGAGATCATTCCAATTTTTTTGGTACTGCAGATTCTATGCATGTCCCTGTTCTGCCAGGGCTGCTGCAGCAGTCCGTATCCTGGAGGGGAGCGCCACATCCTGGAGGGGAGCGCCACACTCCAAACTTGGACAAGCAAGAGGCCAGGGACACCAGTCTCCAAGGATGCAGTATTTTGTGATGGGTGAGACCCAATACTGACAGAAGGGAGGGAGGAAGGAGGTGTTCTGGCCCAGGGTTTCAGAGAATTCACCCCATCGTTGCTTGGGAAGAACATGGCAGAGAAGGCCACTCACCTCATAGCAGACAGGAAGCAGAAGGAAGGGCCTGAGGGACCGGGTGTAGCCCCAAAAGTTGCTCCCCCAAGGACCTGCTTCCTACAAGTAGACACCACTCCTAAAGTTTCCAGAATGGCAGCACCAGCAAAGGATGGTGCACTCAACTCATGAACCTGAGCATTCCATATTCCAGGGCTCAGAGCCAGAACCACAGCAGGATCACAGTGCTAGCTGCTTGTGCAGATGTGGAGAAGGTGCCTTAATGAATTAGCACTATGGTGTTACCAGTGTCTTGTGTTGCCACAACAAATTGGATGACTTAAAATGGGGCATAAAGGGGGTGTAGCTTAGTTGCTGGAGGCTTAGCATACATGAGCCTCAGTATCACATAAACCAGACATGGCACATCACTGTGTAGGCACCTTCTTGATCATAGCTACACCATGTTGAAGTTTAGGCTGACTCTAGCCTCTGAAATTATCAGGCAGTTGGCCCAGGGTATGGGAACAAACATCAGCAGGACCCCAGTTGTCTTGGGAACAGGCAGGTCAGCGTGTTCTGGAATACACCTGCTAACTGCAGATTTATGGCTTCTGTAGGTTATGCTTGGCTTGCTTCTACAAAATAGTAATTGTTGCTTAATAGAAATTCTTTCCACCTGTAAGCTTGGGAACTTACACTTTTCACCTCTGGTTACGGTTTCTCTGTATAAAAAACTTACCCTAGAGATGGCTCTGGGCTGTACTTGGGTTCCGATACACTTGTGTAGTTGCTGGCCAGCTAGTAAAAGACTTTCATTCGGCAAAACTTTGAGTGGTCTTCTCTGGTGAGGCACCTCACAACACCTATAACCCCAGCACTCCAGGTGAAGAAGCACAGGAGTTCAAGGCTATACAGTGAGTTGAAAGCCAGCCTGAGCTACATGAAACTGTATCAAAAAACAAAAAACAAAAATGGTACTTCTTCCTTCACACGTTTACAGGCCAGGAATTGGTCCAGGTGTTCATGCACTCTGCAGCTTCCCTCTGTGGGCTCTGGGAAGAGTCCAGCCTTTGTCTCCAGCTTCTGGTAGCAACTGTAACCCTTGGCTTGAGGCCACCAGTACCTGCCCCCATGGCCTGTGTCAATTCCTGTGTGAGTCCCACCTCCTCCTCCCCTATCTTCTGTTCCCCAAAACTAGGGTGACGGCATACCCCGCCACACCTCACTTTCCTTTTCCCTGTGAAGACCATCCTCCACTGGGGTTATCACTGACAACCCATTATAATCCAGGATAATCTCAAGATCCTCACTGACTTCTGCAAAGACGCTTCCACTAAATAAAGCCACTTCCACAGGTTCCAGTGGGGGTATCCCATAAGTAGCCACTACTCAGCCCACTAGTGCATTCAACTATGGTGTAAGGTAGCCTCACACAGAAGCGAGTGGCACGTGGCCCCTCATGATCTGGAAACATGCTCTAGTGACTTGGTATTCCCCATTCGGCCTGAAGCCAAACAGACTACTTCTCCCAAATATGGTGGGAGTTTCTCAGTGTGATTTTCAGTGTCCTTGGTAACCCTACCTAGTAGTTTCTGAAAAACATATTTTTCTTTCTAAATGTGATGTAGTGGTACATACCTATAATCTTAAGTCCTGGGGAGGCAGAAGCAGGGAAGATCACTTGGGCCCAGAAGTCTGAGCCTAGCCCAGGCAACATGGCAAGACCCCATCTCAAAAACAAACACCACCAACAAAAAACAGAAAAATTACAGGCCATTATATTACCACCCTGAAACCAACCTGATGACCATGTTCCTTCCACCTTCCTGTCCACACCATGGTCTAGAGCTACACAGGCTCTGTGCTTCCTCAAGACAGTCCACCCTTCTCTACGAAGGCCTCCTGGTGTCTCCTGTCTCTGAGAGCTGAGGTGCATGGTGCCACCTAGGATGATCTTAGGTCTCCGCTGCTGTGCCAGTTCCACAGGTTTCTGTGCCATTCCATCCAGCCATGGAGCCTCTGCACTTGCTCAGGGATAGATGCCCAACTATTCAGGATGCTGAGGCAGAAGAGGTGCTTGAAGCTAGCCTCCACAACACAGGCTCTGGCTAGAAATCAAAGAAGCATAAAACCCCACAGCTTTCTCCTGCCTCCAACAGATCCATCTTCCCTCACATCTTTTAGGACCTCCCATCTGACACACTATGCAGGCCACTCAGGATTTTCTCCCCTTTCCCACTAATGTAAGTTTTATTGCTCTGAGAGTTTATTAATTGCTGAGTTCCCAGCACCTAGAATAATTTCTAGTGCATAGTGGTGCTCAGAAAATAGGGGAATGATGGATCTGCTTGATGTAGAAAGGCTTTGTGGAACCAGTGAGACTCACAGACACTTGCATTCAGACCTGACGATGCTCTCAGATCGATCCCTGAATCCCACAAGGTGGCAGGAGAGCCCAACTCTGAGAGCTGTTCTGTGACCTCCAGGTGCAGGCTGTGGCACGTGCATGCCTTCACTCAAGCCCACATGCACACGCACAATTGGTTAAATTTCTTGCTAACTGAACTTCAGGTCAAATTAACACCTATGCATGCTCAGATTCTTGCTGATGGGCCCCAAGCTCTTGTCTCCCCTTCCAGCTTGCAGAGGGCTGCGTTCTGGGCCCTCCCTGAGCGTCCCACGCCAA